ATGTTAGCCAGGATGGTCTCGATCTCCTGACCTCATGATCCACCCTCCTCGGCCTCCCAAAGTGCTGGGATTATAGGCATGAACCACCGCGCCTGGCCAATAATATTTTATTTTATTTTGTTTTATTTATTTTTGAGACAGAGCATTGCTCTGTTGCCCAGGCTGGAGTGCAGTAGTGTGATCTTGGCTCAGTGCAACTTCCACCTCCCAGGTTCAAGCACTTCTTCCTGTCTCAGCCTCCTGAGTAGCTGGGATTACTGGCTCCCGCTCCACATGAGGTTTTGCCATGTTGGCCAGGCTGGTCTTGAACTCCTGACCTCGGGCGATCTGCCCACTTCAGCCTCCCAAAGTGCTGGGATTACATGTGTGAGTCACCACGTCCGGCCCTAAATAATATTTTAAACTCTTGGAATTTTTCATAATTTATTTCATTTATTCAGTTTGTATATCTAAATTATATTTTCTAAAATGCAGATTAAAAAAATGGCAAACTCCTTTGCAACGAGGACCTTCACTACCCTTTCAGATCTGCAGCCAAATATGGCTAATCTGGTAGGTTTCAATGATGTGGTGATTTGCTCACTAACAAAATCTTATGTGATAAAATTGCATCAACATTATTCATTCATTCAACACATGCTTTTATAATGGACAAGTATATAGATACTGATTGCATTGGTATAATTGTTAGATATTAAGTATACCAAAATTTCTTTGTATTTATGCCACCTAGATGAAAATTAATCTTTATTTGTATGTAGAGTAGAAGATGTGATTGTAGATATGACTAGTAATTGTTCAAAATGATTAATAGATGTATTAATTAAATATTTAATAAAGTGAAAAATTTAATTCATGCTCAAATTTAGCGTTGTAAAATTAAACCAGGCCGGGCACGGTGGCTCACACCTGTAATCCTAGCACTTTGGGAGGCTGAGACAGCTGGATCACCTGAAGTTGGGAGTTCGAGACCAGCCTGACCAACATGGAGAAACTCCCGTCTCTACTAAAAATACAAAATTAGCTGGGCATGGTGGCTCATGCCTGTAATCTCAGCTACTCAGGAGGCTGAGGCAGGAGAATCACGTAAAGCCAGAAGGCAGAGGTTTCAGTGAGCCGAGATCACGCCATTGCACTCCAGCCTGGGCAACAAGAGCGAATCTCTGTCTCAAGAAAAAAAACAAACAAAAAACAAAAAACAAAACAAAACAAAACAAAACAAAACCATTTGGTTCAGCAGTAGCAGTTTTCTAACCAAATTATCGAAGTTATGGTCTAAGTATTTGACATTATGCTGCTTTTATGATACAAGGTTTGTAACAGGTGTGTTTTCTGAAATTATTATGTGAAAATTGACTTTTTGAGCAGTAGTTATAGAGGAATTCAATGATTTTGAATACACCTCAACTGTTACTTATTTAAAAAAAAAAACTGGGTGGAATCATCTTATAAGTTAAAGAACTTATTGTAAAGCAACTACCACACACCCTTACCTTCCCTGCCCCTGAGCAGTCACTATATTTTGCTTTTGCAAACTGGATTTCTTACAATGGAATACATTTACATATAACTTTAATAATTTAAAATTTATAAATATTAAAAAAAAAATTGTTATAGTTTTTCTTGAAAGGTAAACTATTTGCTAATAATGGTCTCTTCAGATAGAAAGTTTTACTCAACATTTCCATCAGTTGGATTTTCCAACAAAATTCAGTGAGACCTGCATGTATAAGGAATTGAAGAAATAATACCAATGTGTCTAAATAAGCAATAAGGCTAGCTGATAGCTCAGCTAGAATGTAGGAGTCTTAAAAGCCTGATTGTAATGTAAATGTCACAGATTATTGTAAGGTTAAAATCAATTGCTGCAATTAGCAAAATAAGTTTAGTTTTTTCCTTTCAGAAAAGGTATTCATTTTTATTTTTTATTTATTTGTTTTTATTTTTATTTATTTATTTATTTTGAGATGGAGTCCTGTTCTGTTGCCCGGGCTGAAGTGAAATAGTAGGATCTCAGCTCACTGCAGTCTCTGCCTCCCGGATTCAAGTGATTCTCCTGCCTCAGCTCGCGAGTAGCTGGGATTACAGGCACCCATCACCATACCCAGCTAATTTTTTGTATTTTTAGTAAAGATGGGGTTTCACCATGTTGATCAGACTGGTCTTGAACTCATGACCTCAGGTGACCCACCCGCCTCGGCCTCCCAAAGTGCTGGGATTACAGGTGTGAGCCACCACACCCGGCCCATTTTTATTTCTTAAAACGCATTTAAAATTTTTCTTCAGTAGTCACTGAAGAGAACATTAAACATTTTAAGGAGATGTTAATATCTCTGAGGTTTAAGATCTAGGACTTTAGGATTTAGATTTATTAGTGGCAAAATATAAGTTTTGTTACAGTCTAATTTATATTTCTGTCCAGCATGTTTGGATTAAGAAGCTAAGCTATTTTATGTGGATTGTTAGAAAACCCTATATAAAGGAAAGCTTTGAAGACCGTGGCAAACTAAATTGCATTATACATGAGCTTTGGATAAATTCAATAAGGACTGATAGCATAGGGCAGTTATTGTGCTCCATCTAGTGATTGAAAATAAAATAGAAACATGCTAAGAATTAAATGATTATAATAGTAGTTAACTTTTGGATTAGTTTGTACTATTCCTTGTGGAATTGAACATTTATGAACTTCTTTTAGATGTTTGCATGGAATAAATACATTTAAATGTTCCAAGTCAGAAATGTTTGTTAGAGCCAGTAAAGTATAACAAACCCATGAAATTAAATTTACCATGTACATCTGTGTTTAATATTGGTCTTCTGTAACCTTTTTGTTTTTCAGAAAGTAATTGGTGTAGTTATTGGGAAAACAGATGTCAAAGGCTTTCCAGACAGAAAAAGCTGAGTTCTGTTTAACTCTTTGCTTCATTTTTCATCAACTTTGGCTTATGACTACAACAAAGTATATTTAAGTGATTAATTTTTCTATGCCTGTTTAACTCCTTAAGAGCAATGGTCATGCTCTCTATTGGATGGTCAAGTACCTGATTCAAGGCTCTCTCTTTCCCTCCCTCCCACATTTTCTCTCTCTCTCTCTTTCTCTATATATATATGTATATATACATATGTGCATATATATGTATATTTGAGCACATGTGTTCTCTCTCTGCTTTTTTTTTTTGAGACAGAGTCTCACTGTGTCTCCCAGACTGGAGTGCAGTGGCGCGATCTCGGCTCACTGCAAGCTCCACCTCCCGGGTTCATGCCATTCTTCTGCCTCAGCCTCCCGAGTAGCTGGGACTACAGGCACCCGCCACCACGCCCGGCTAATTTTTTGTGTTTTTAGTAGTGACAGGGTTTCACCGTGTTAGCTAGGATGGTCTCGATCTCCTGACCTCGTGATCCACCCGCCTCTGTCTCCCAAAGTGCCGGGATTACGGCGTGAGCCACCACGCCTGGCCGCTTTTTTTTTTTAAGAGATGGAGTCTCGCTCTATCACTCAGGCTGGAGTGCAATGGCACGATCTCAGCTCACTGCAACCTCTGCCTCCCGGGGTCAATCGATTCTCATGCCTCAACCTCCCAAGTAGCTGGAATTACAGGCACATGCCATCATGCCTGGCTAATTTTTGTATTTTTAGTAGAGATGGGATTTCACCATGTTGGCCAGGCTGGTCTTGAACTCCTGACTTCAAGTGATCTCCCTGCCTCGTCCTCCCAAAGTGCTGGAATTACAGGTGTGAGCCACCGTGGCCAGCGCCTGGCTGATTGAAAAAAAATTTTTTTGTAGAGACAGGGTCTTGCTCTGTTGCCCAGGCTGGTCTCAAACTGCTGGGCTCAAGTGATCATCCCACCTCAGCCTCCTAGAGTGCTGGGATTACAGGCATGATGCTTTTATCTTTAAATACAAAGCTGTCATCTGATACCCATATCATTTGTGCATGCACTTTGTTTCATCTTAATTAATTAGATCAGAATTACTAAATAAATAGTTTGAGAAAGTCTATATATCTTCTTACCAAACTTCATAAGGCGCCATTGCACTCCAGCCTGGGCAACAGGAGTGAAACTCCGTCTCAAAAAACAAACAAACAAACAAACAAACAAAAAACATGGTTATTCACCTATCAGACTGTGAGGGAAGGAGAAAAGCTTCTGTGTTGTTTGGCTTCTTTTTATGATGACATCTGTGATATTCCTTTTTTGGAGGAAGTATGCTTACTGACTTAAAACATTGTACATACAACATTCTATTTTCCTAAAACATTCCAGCAGTACCAAAGGTCATAGAGTTGAAAAGTAAAATTCCCCTTTTCAGCTCCTCACTTTCCCCATCCTAGTCCTCTCCCTAGAGGTAGACACTAATAGACAGTTCAGAATATGTCTATAATTTGCATGTATGTTGGGCTATATTACTTTTTTTAAAAAATTGAGATACGGGCTCGGTGTCACTCAGGCTGGAGTGCAGCAATGTGAACACAGCTCACTGCAGCGTCGACTCTGAGCTCAAGTGGTCCTCCTGCCTCAGCCTCCCATGTAGCCCAGACCACAGGTGCATGCTACCATGCCTGAATAATTTTTGGATTTTTTTGTAGAGACAGAGGGTCTCACTTTGTTGCCCTGACTGATCTTGAACTCCTTGGCTGAAGCAGTCTTACCCGCTTGGCCTCCCAAGGTGCTGGGATTACAGGCAGGAGCAACTGCACCCAGCCAGGTTGTCATTTTTAATTAGCAAAACCAATATGAAATTTCTATTTTGGAAAAAAAGTATTTGCTGACCCCTAGTGGTCCTCATTAAGTAGCACATAATTTGTTTTGAAATAACATTTTAATTATTTTTCCTTTTATTAACATTCATTTTAATGCTGAATTTACTCCCGTGCCATAAGTTTTTGTTTCTTCAGTTTCTTCTGGGATATCTTTTTCTTCTGGGCAACCTCCTCTTCTGGTTTAGGAACAATCTGTTCCTTTTCAGTAAGGATCATCTCAATGTGGAAGGGAGAGCACATGTATGGGTTAATTCGACAATGAGCTCTGTAGGTCCGGCGGTGCATCTCAGGTGCGTTGTTCACTTGGATATGCTCAATGACCAGAGAATCTAAATCTAAATCCTTAAATTCAGCATTACGCTCTGCGTTTTTAAGCATGTGCAGTAAAAATTCAGCACTCTTTTTGGGCCACCGACCTTCTGTCCAGTCCCACTGCTTGGCCTGCGCACACCTGCCAACTTCACCATTGTGACGTTGGAATGGTATGCACTGTTTCTGTAAAGTGACATCTTTCAGATACTTGGTGGCTTTTCGTATATGCATACCCTTGATGGCCTGAGCGGTTTCACGAGTGTTCTTAAAGTGAACAGGAAGATTGGAACCTCTTGATTTACATGATTTCATGGGGTTCTCCAGGTCAAGTGAATAGCGAACCCTTTTCACAGATTACCTCAGGCTGCTTAGGGAAAGAGTTTTTATTATTTTTAAAATTTATTTATTTATTTTTAGAGACAGGGTCTCACTCTGTTCTTCCCCACCTCTGCTAAAAAACCTCATCTTGCCAGGTGCAGTGGCTCACGCCAACATTTTGGGAGGCTGAGGCAGGCGGATCACGAGGTCAGGAGTTCGAGACCAGCATGGCCAACATGGTGAAACCCCATCTCTACTAAAAGAACAAAATTAGTCAGGCACGGTGGCAGGCGCCTGTAATCCCAGCTACTTGGGAAGGTGAGGCAGGAGAATTGCTTGAACCCAGGAGGCGGATGTTGCAGTGAGCTGAGATCATGCCATTGCACTCCAGCCTGAGTGACAAGAGCGAAACTCCGTCTCAAAAACAAACAAACAAAAAACAAAATCTGTTTTTACTAAAAAAAAAATACAAAAATTAGCCTGGCATGGTGGTGTGCGCCTGTAGTCCCAGCTGCTCGGGAGGCTGAGGCAGGAGAATAGCTTGAACTGGGAGGCTGGGGTTGCAGTGAGCTGAGAGATCGCGTCACTAAACTGCAGCCTGGGTGTACATTTCATGAACACCCTGAATTCATTCTTCCCAGACTGGAGTGCAGTGGTGCATTCAAAGCTCACTGCACACTTAAACTGGGCTCAAGCAGCCCTTCCTCAGCCTCCCAAGCAGCTGAGACTAAAGATGAGTGCCACCACTCGTTTTAACATTTTCTGTAGAGATGGAGTCCCTCTGTGTTGCCCAGGCTGGTTTTGAACTCCAGGCCTCAAGTGATTCTCCCACCTCGCCTCCCAAAGCCCCAGGATCACAGGGGTAAGCTGCTGTGCCTGGCCAATTTTTATTTTTATTTGATTACTAGTTATTTATTTATTTTTGAGACAGAGTTTCTCTCTTTTCACCCAGGCTGGATCTCGGCTCACTGCAACCTCCGTCTCCTGGGTTCAAGCAATTCTCCTGCCTCAGCCTCCCGAGTAGCTGGGATTACAGGCACCCACCACCACACCCGGCTAAGTTTTGTATTTTTAGTAGAGACAGGGTTTCACCATGTTGGCCAGGCTGGTCTTGAACTAACCTCAGGTGATCCACCCGCCTCGGTCTTCCAAAGTGCTGGGATTATAAGTGTGAACCATGGCGCCCAGCCTATTTTTATTTTTATTTTAGGGATGGGGTCTTGCTCTGTTGCCCAGTCTGGAGAGCAGTGGTGCAGTCACAGTTCACTGAAGCCTTGAACTTTTGGGCTTAAGCAGTCCCTCTGCTTCATCCTCCCAAGTAGCTGGGACTGAAATAACTATTTAGATCTGAATTATGACTTAGGTTCAAACAACAGTAAGAGAGAAAAGGAGAACCTAAGGTAATACCTGGATGGCTCAAGTTTACATGTCTTTCCCTCCAAATACACAGATCACCAGGGAAGGGAGCAAGGGGGCAACCTGTTACCACTTCAGTTTGAAATTCATGGAAGCATAGTGTTATAGAATATACATCTGAAAACATTTTGTTCCATGTATTTGAGTGTTTTTATTATCATAATCAATAGTCATTTGGTTAAAGAAATAATCATTTGTTTGTAATTGAAATGAAACTTTTCATGTGACACCAAAGGCAGAGAAGCGATTGAAACTCTTCATTTGAAAAATAAAAGCATTGGTTTTCCCTTAGATATTGGATCAGAAAGGTACACTTTCAGCTTCACCATTCGGGATTCACCAGCACATTTTGTAAATGCAGCTTCCTGGGGCAATGAAGATTACATCAAGTCTCTTTCTGACAGCTTTAGGGTTGGTGACTGTGGTAAGTTGGCATTGATTCTTAAATTTTTTCCATTGTATTATTCCTGTGGTATGTTTATGGTAACTACACTGAAGGAGTTGAAATGAGACACAGTTCATAATTCTCAAGAACTTTACCAGAAAAAGTCAAGTTTTAATAGTATAATGTAGTGGGGCGTGGTGGCTCATACCTATAATCCCAATACTTTGGGAGGCCGAGGCGGGTGGATTGCATGAGTCTAGGAGTTCAAGACTAGCCTGAGCAGTATGGCAAAACCCCATTTCTACAAAAAATACAAAAAATTAGCTGGGCGTGGTGGTGTGGGCCTGTAGTACCAGCTACTAAGGAGGCTGAAGTGAGAGGATGGCTTGAGCCTGGGAGGTGGAGGTTGCAGTGAGCCAGCATCATGCCTCTGCACTCCAGCCTGGGTCACAGAGTAAGACCCTGTCTCAAAAAAAAAAAAAAAAAAAAACAAGACTGCAGTGCAAAGCATTCAGAATGTTACTTAAAGCATACAAACATGATCGTTATATTTTTACCAGGTAACCTTACTGTCTTTGGTTTATTACATATTTCAATTTGCATCATCCCATATTATTGTTATTATTGGTTATCTTTCTGTAGACATATAAAATGGCCACTGAATATATTTTGATAAAAGTTGACATTTGACTACTGAATAGATTTGATAAAAACTGATACTTGAATTTTTAATGGGATTTTAAGGAACTTTACTTTTAGTTGAAATACCAAATCTTTTACATCTTCTACTCACCCTAGTATCTCTTTGACAGAACAGCCTCGTATAGTAGAAAGAACAGGAGACTTTGAAAGCACAGAGGTCTAGATTCAAATCCCAGTTCCAACATTTATTTATATTATGGCTTTGAGAAAATTTCTTAATCTTGTTGGGTCTCAACTATGAACTAATACTTCTTTAGGTTTTTGTAAATATTAAATGAGATAGTGTACGTAGTATAAAGTGTGGAACGTAGTCACTCAACAGATAACTTTTATGAGCCCTAGCCTCATAAAAGCAACAAGGAAGCATGTATACTAGCTCTCCTTCACGATAGAGAAAGAGAAAAGAGAATGCAGATAATGAAAACACTCCTCTTTAATACTGTGGTCTCAAGCAGCCCACTCCCCGTATCAGTTGTTTAGAACCTAATTGTATATCGCTTTGTATTATTAACTTTCCGGACAGTGTATGGTATCTCTGTAGTTGAATAATAGGGTCAGTGAACGCATGGACTATGAAGGCAGAAAGCTTCACAAACTTCAGAGGGCCCAGTATAGTTATAGACGTCCCTTGAATAAATGCTGAAATATTAGTTACATATGGAGATAAATATTTCGATTTTGACATCTCAGTATCAAAATATGTTATATGTTGATGGTGGAGAAGAGGAATGAGGTGAGGAATTTTTAAAGCCTAGAGTCAGTGATGATTATACATTAAACAGGATGTTATTTAGAATTAGTGTGTTTATCTTGTTACTGCTTTGTAATATCATCATACTTTGCCCTCTGTTTTAGTGATAATTGAAAATCCCCTGATCCAAAGAAAGGAAATAGAAAGAGAAGAAAAATTCAGCCCTGCAACTCCTAGGTAAGCATCTGTCTAGCACAGAGATCAACCTCTGACACAGAGATTGTGCCAGAATGATCATTACTAATAATGTTCTGTCAGGTTAGCAGAGATCTTACTAAAAGTGTTCTGTTTCTATTTCAGTAAAAATGAGGAGTTTAATTTTCTCTTATAAAATTCATCTTTGATTATGACATAATTTACTTTGATACAGAGTCACATGAAAAATGGCTTTGGTTTAGTACTTTGATTCTCATTCTTAGATTTACTAAAATTTGACTTTGTCATGTTAAAACTGAGAAAAAAAGATAAACTTTGGAAATTACATCTATCTTTTTTCATATCAAGATATCCTTCTACTCACAGGCTGACCATCTTAGGGCAGATTCCTTCGAAGCGGAGCTTGAGAGGAGGACTCTTGTGGGAGTGGTTGGTTGAGGGTGAGCTCTCAGGGGAAGGCTAGGCGGGGAAGAAGGTGAGCAGAGAAGTGGGTTCACCTGGAGCCTCAGCAGGAGCCCAGGAGGGAGCTCTGGAGTGGCAGTGGCCCCTTAGAGTAGTGTCCTGGCTGTAGTCCTTCCACTCCCCAAACCCCCAGGGTGGGGCAGGGCATCAGCTCAAAGGCGGGTCTGGCAGTTCTGGAGAGAAGGGTGTGGCTGCGCCCCTGTACCAGCCTGTAAAGGGCTCTCGGTGGGCACGGCAGTCTATGGCATTGACACACCAATTGTGACCCCTTTCCACCTTCTTTTCTGACCTCATCTTATGCCAGACTCTCAAACTTCGTTTCTGTGTAGCCACAGTAAATTTCTTTACATTTCATGAACACTGTGAACTCATTCTGCACTAATAACTTTTGTATTTCCTTTTTATTTTTATTTTTACTGAGACAGAGTCTCACTCTGTTGCCCAGGCTGGAGTACAGTGGCGCAATCTCGTCTCACTATAACCTCCACCTCCTGGGTTCAAACGATTCTCCCACCTCAGCCTCCCAAGTAGCTGTGATTACAGGCACATGCCACCACGCCCAGCTAATTTTTGTATTTTTAGTAGAGGCAGGGTTTCACCATGTTGGCCAGGCTGGTGTCAAACTTCTGACCTCAAGTGATCCACCTGCCTCGGCCTCCCAAATTGCTGGGATTGCAGGCGTGAGCCACTGCGCCAGGCCAAACATTTGTATTTTCTATTCTCTCTCTGCATAGAACATTCTCCCATCTGTTTGATTATTTGCTTCTTTGGGTTATTGACTCACAGCTTAAATGTCATCTTCTTCAGCCTTCCCCATCTACTCTGTTTGTGGTAGCGCTAATGGTCAATTACTGGGATTTTGCCCTGGTTTTTGTCACCATAACCCAAGTCACCGTCTGAGATTGTTTAATTCATTGTTCTTGGGTCTCCCCCTCACATATATGAACCTCATGAGATCAAAGGTCTTGTCTGCCTTCTTCACCACCTGTATCCCTTGTGCCTAGCATGGGGTCTGGCATATAACAGATTCTCAGTATTCATGGAAGCGATGGATGGATGGTTAGATGGAGAGAACATTCTTGGTAGAGGGAAGAAACAGGAAACCTCCTGTCTTTTCCAGAACAGTTAATATTAGGTTGAGCCATATGAAACTGCTGATGTTTTACTATTTTTCATCTAGGAATATCAGTTTCATAACGTTAATAGTCTGATACTGCTGGAACGCAGGGAATGGGCAGGAGGAGAAGCTTAAGGTAGAAGCAGAGGTATTTCACAGACAGCTTTGCTTTCATACCAAATTATTGCCTTTGTGACTGGTAGCCACAAGACAGTCTTTGAGCTGGGAAATAACATTTTCATATTTGTGATTTAGGAAGATCACTTTGCTTGTGGAGGATGGACTGTAGGGGAATGAAGGTTAGTTAGGAGAGCAAGGCAGTGGCGTGGGAGAGAAGTGATGAGGTAGGTAAGTGAGGCCGAGCAGTGGGGAGGAGGAGGGGCTGGGTTAGGGGGCTGCTGGGGCACAGAGTCCAAGGGCCGTCAGGGACTGGGTGCAGGAGGGACAGCTCCTCATTTCGGGCTTGCTGTGCCAGTGTTCTGCGTCTGCCCCATGCAGAGCTTAGCAGGGGTAGGAAAAACACAGTCCCTGACCTGAGGCACTAAGGCAGAACAGCCAAGTCCATGAGAGAGAGAAACAACCAGTCCTTAGGTTTGCATAACCCCTGAAAGTTTCAGAGTGCTTTTATGCTCCTATTTTTTTGGAGGAGGAAATAAGCGCAGAGTCTTGGGCAAGATCGGACAAATGGTATGCTTAGATCTCCAACATGAATCGATTCTCAAAACATTTCCTTAATGAAAGTGCACTGTAAACAAAAAATGTTTTGCCGTATTATTCAGTGTTTCTAAGAGTAAGAAGTATGTATTAGTATTGTCTAAATTTCAACCAAAAATGTAGTTTAAATGTGAACCTGGAAATATTTTTCTATCCAAAAATCACTTTCATATAACTTTCTTGTGTTTTTGCAATTTAGCAACTGTAAACTACTGCTCAGTGAGAATCACTCAACAGTTAAAGTTTGTTCCAGTTACGAAGTGGACACAAAGTTACTTTCTTTGATACATTTACCTGTTAAAGAGTCTCACGATTATTATTCATTGGGTGACATTGTTGCAAATGGACACAGTCTTAATGGGAGGATTATTAACGTGCTGGCAGCTGTGAAGTCGGTAAGTTAAAACCCCAACAAAGCCAAGTGCAATTTGTCAGGGGTGTTGCGGTCACTTGATTTGTGTTTGGGATGGAGTGGTCATGATCAGCTGGGGTAACTTGTCTTCTGTATTGTGGTAGTATGTTGAATTAAGAAAACAGTAACACTTCTCATTAAAGGGAAAGTAGCATTTTATCTGTGGATGAGTAGTAAAATCAAATTGTATTTCAATGCAAAATGCAGTGTTCCACTCCGCTCATAAATGATCTGCTAACTATAGGACAGCTTTTTATACTTTGCTTAAACAGAGATGAAAATGAAAAGGGTAAGCTTATTGACTCGAAAATCTCCACGATCTTCCTTGAAGGGGCGTAGTTGAGTAAGTTAAGGGATTGGTTTTGTGCCTTTGTGCTCAGAGCTGCCCAGAAACCGGGGAGGGAGTGGGAATACACGTTGCCCTGCCATAGGGGCTCCGTGGTCTAATAGGTGGAGTGGGACTGTGCTGGTGAAGTGCAGGGGAGGATGGCACTCCGTGGGGCACCACAGGGGTGTTCCCTTCTGGTGCATCAGCATCTGTCTGAATTATTGTAGCAAGTTCTGAGCTCTGTAGTTGGACAGACCAGAGCCATAAGGCAGAGATTGACATATAGACCTCAACGGTAAAGTTTCACAAAATAAAGTACATGAAAATTAGTCCAGGCACAGTGGCTCACACCTGTGATCCTAGCACTTTGGGAGACCAAGGCAGATGGATCACTTGAGTCCAGGAGTTCAAGACCAGCCTGGGCAACCTCCGTCTCTAAAAAAATACAGAAATTAGGTGGGTGTGATGGCATGTACCTGTATTCTCAGCTGCTTGGGAGGCTGAAGGGGGAAGATCACCTGAGCCTGGGAGGTTGAGGTTGCAGTGAGCCAAAATCATGCCACTGCACTCCAGCCTGGGCAATCGAGGGAGACCCTGTCTCAAAAAAAAAAAAAAAAGTCTGGTACAGTGGCTCATGCCTGTAATCCTAGCACTTTGGGAGACTGAGGCGGGTGGATCACAAGGTCAGGAGTTCGAGACCAGCCTGGCCAATATAGTGAAACACCATCGCCACTAAAAATACAAAAATTAAGTCCCAGCTACTCCGGAGGCTGAGGCAGGAGAATGGCATGAACCTGGGAGGCGGAGCTTGCAGTGAGCCAAGATCATGCCACTGCACTCTAGCCTGGGCAGCACAGTGAGACTCCATCTCAAAAAAAAAAGAAAAAAAAAATTAGCTGGGTGTGGTGGCAGGTGCCTGCAATCCCAGCTACTTGGGAGGCTGAGTCAGGAGAATCACTTGAACCTGGAAGGTGGAGGTTGCAGTGAGCCGAGATTGTGCCACTGCCCTCCAGCCTGGGTGACAGAGCGAGACTCCGTCTCAAAAAAAAAAAAAAGAAATTAGCTGGGCATGGTGGCAGGTACCTGTAGTCCCAGCTACTTGGGAGGTTGAGGCAGGAGAATTACTTGAACCCAGGAGGCAGAGGTTGCAGTGAGCTGAGATGGCACCACTGCACTCCAGCCTGGATGACAGAGCGAGATTCTGGGTCGATAAATACATAAATAAATAAAGGGGCAAGAATAATCTTTTAATATACAGAGGGATGATAGTCAAGAGACAAAAACAACAACAACCACAAAAACCACTCACACGCTTATGATAGTTCATGTAAGTAAACGTGAATTGCTTGTCATATTAAATGGTGACTGACTGAGAGAATGTGACCCTCTCAGTTGGCAGGGCCTCGGCTGTGGAGGCCATGCCTGCCGCCTGGGGAGCATCTGTATACTTTAGGGAGAAGGAATAAGCCTGTTATATGATCATCTTGAAAAACAGGAGAGGTCACTTTGTAGGCAGTTTATGTTCAGTCCTATTCAGTTGTTCAAATGAGTGCTCAATTGTTTGCGATTTCCCCAAGTTCTAGACAGTGCTATTACATTTATAATGAAGTAGGAATTGTCTACAACCCTGAGTGAATACAGTAGGGTAAGCAGGAAACTGTGGCAGCTTTCCCACACCCTCAGTGAGTCTGGCACCTTTCATGTGTCACGTCACTTCTTCTCTTGCCTTTTGTCTCCACTTTGGCTTTCAGCCCTCTTACATTTCCTTTTCTTCACACTTTTTTTTTTTTTTTTTGGCGGGGGGAAGGAGTCTCGCTCTGTCACCCAGGCTGGAGTGCAGTGGCATGATCTTGGCCCACTGCAACCTCTGCCTCCCGGGTTCAAACAATTCTCCTGCCTCAGCCTCTCGAGTAGCCAGGACTAAAGGCATGCACCACAACGCCTGGCTAATTTTTGTATTTTTAGTAGGGACAGGGTTTCACCATAGTGGTCAGGCTAGTCTCGAACTCCTGACCTTGTGATCCACCCACCTCGGCCCCCCAAAGTGCTGGGATTACAGGCATGAGCCACCGTACCTGGCCACTCTTCACACTTTCATTTAACCTGTTGTTTCTTCCTCTCATCTCCACTGTTGTTTCACTTTAAAACTCCTTTTTATACAGTGTTCTTCATCTCCCCAACCCCAGATGTTAGGCTGACCTCTCAGCCTCTGGCTGTCCTTTCTAGGTCCCTTTCTCTGGGCACCACAGATGCAGTGGTGGCAGTGGTGGGGGGTGGCCAGTGACTGTCCATGCTGGACCTGCTGCTGTGCAGCTCTCAGAGGCGCCTGCCGTTCCCACATGAGAAGCTACTGGGTGGAGGGAAGGGTCCTAGGTTCAACTCTTTTTTTTTTTTTTTTTTTACTTGCTTTAATGGGCGAGAACATTCTCGACTTCTGGTTGATCATCTCACCCCACAATGGACAGAGATTGGAAAGTGTCAAAGTTTCCTGGTATCCCGCATGTGGCTCTTACCACGGTAGTTCTGGGGAAAAGGCAGAGGACGTATCCTTTATTTGTTTCCTGTGGATACTTTTTATACCACAGATATGCTATATTTGATGTTTGCTAAAGAAATGGGGCCGGCGCGTGGCTCAAGCCTGTAATCCCAGCACTTTGGGAGGCGAGGCGGGCGATCACAAGGTCAGCAGATCGAGTCCATCCTGGTTAACACGGTGAAACCCCGTCTCTACTAAAAAAATACAAAAAACTAGCGGCGAGGTGGCAGCGCCTGTAGTCCAGCTACTCGGCGAGGCTGAGCCAGGAGAATGGCGTAAACCGGGAGGGCGGAGCTTGCAGTGAGCGTGAATCTGGCCACTGCACTCCAGCCTGGGCGACAGAGCTAGACTCCGTCTAAAAAAAAAAAAAAAAGAAGATGGAGATGCTGACCCCAGAGAGGCTGAGTCCATTCAGTCACATGAACTCATGCTGGGTTCCACACTGAGCCATGGGGACACACATGTGCTGGAAACACACTCCCTGCCCTCGAGGAGTCCACGTAGATGCCCCAGGGGGCCTGTCATGGAGCCTTGTTGTGACATGTTATAAAGACTTTCAGGGTCGGGCGCGGTGGCTCAAGCCTGTAATCCCAGCACTTTGGGAGGCCGAGACGGGCGGATCACGAGGTCAGGAGATCGAGACCATCCTGGCTAACACGGTGAAACCCCGTCTCTACTAAAAAAATACAAAAAAAAACCTAGCTGGGCAAGGTGGCAGGCGCCTGTAGTGCCAGCTACTCGAGAGGCTGAGGCAGGAGAATGGCGTAAACCCGAGAGGCGGAGCTTGCAGTGAGCTGAGATCCGGCCACTGCACTCCAGCCTGGGCGACAGAGTGAGACTCCGTCTCAAAAAAAAAAAAGAAAAAATACTTAAATATTTCTACATACAGGTGAAGAGTAATGATTTCTTTCCATTTCTAAGGTTTAAAGACTTTCAGGGTCGGGCGCGGTGGCTCAAGCCTGTAATCCCAGCACTTTGGGAGGCCGAGACGGGCGGATCACAAGGTCAGCAGATCGAGTCCATCCTGGTTAACACGGTGAAACCCCGTCTCTACTAAAAAAATACAAAAAACTAGCCGGGCGAGGTGGCAGGCGCCTGTAGTCCCAGCTACTCGGGAGGCTGAGGCAGGAGAATGGCGTGAACCCAGGAGGCGGAGCTTGCAGTGAGCTGAGATCCGGCCACTGCACTCCAGCCTGGGCGACAGAGTGAGACTCCGTCTCAAAAAAAAAAAAAGAAAAAATACTTAAATATTTCTACATACAGGTGAAGAGTAATGATTTCTTTCCATTTCTAAGGTTGGAGAGCCAAAATACTTTACAACTTCAGACCGGAGAAAAGGCCAGAGGTGTGAAGTTAGACTCTATGATGAAACAGAGTCTTCTTTTGCAATGACATGGTAACCACCGACGTCTGTTCCAAATTGTGAAATCCCTGTTGTTATCACCAGGACATTTTCATTTTATCAAATATATGGTGGACTTCATATCGAGAGGATAATGATAGGAGATGAATGATATTTTAAAAAATAAACCTCACTCTTGAATGTTGAGTTGTTATAGACACCCCCTTAAAATGAGGTCTTTAGATGGCATGGAACTTGCTTAGGAGGACTCCACTGTGACCAGTTTTATTGTTGAATTCTGTTTTATAACAAATGGTGGTTTACTAGGTCCCATGGAACAAGCCAGACTTTCCCTCTGTGCTTCCTGGAAAGTATCCTGGAGCAGGGCAGGGCACAGGGCATGTGGGCCAGGGCGGGGACTGCACCCTGAAGCACTGCCAGGTACAACAAGGCATTGTCTAGACCCCTGATGCCTGGGTACCAAAGGAAATGATTTGAAAAATGCTTTCAACCCATCAAGGCCCCTGAACCTTGATATCCACTGGGGGACACTTCAGGGTCTGAAAGTGTGACTTTAAAGTTTTTAGGCTTTAGTTCTAACTAGCCTGGAGTGATTGTTAGAAAAATAAAGAATTGGCAGAGCAGAGTATTACTAGAGCAGAGTGTGTGTTGAAGGAATGTTCGCTCATGGAGGTGTTAAATTCTCCCTGGGAGGAAGCTGGTATCCTTAAGACCAGGAGGTCTTTGACCACTGTGGGGATGGCTGACCCCAGCCACTGAAGCTTTCTTTTATTGTTGTAAACAATGTGTCACTATCAGTTTTTTCTAGTGTATTCAATTTGTATTACTTCTTTTTAAACAATGCAGTTGGGATAATGAATCCATTCTACTTGCACAGAGCTGGATGCCACGAGAAACAGGTATCATCATTAAATGATTATGTCCAATATTTGTAATTTTATATCCCCCCATGTAATAATTGTAAATGGCTTTTTTCCCAAACAGTAATATTTGTCTCAGATGTAAGAATAAGTTTTGACAAATTTCGGAACTGCATGACAGCAACTGTAATCTCAAAAACCATTATTACAACTAATCCAGGTAAAAAAACTTTGTGAAATTTTTTATCCCTTTGGAAATGACTGAACACATTTCAATATTTGTACAGTATATTTAAGAATGAAAATTCAGCCTGGATTTAATTCAAATTAGAAGTAAAAATTACTTTATATAACTTTTAAAAAAACTTACAATGAACTTTGATATCTTTACTAAAGAAATGTGAGGCTGGATGTGGTGGCTCATGCCTGTAATCCCAGCTCTTTGGGAGGTTGAGACGGGTGGATCACCTGAGGTCAGGAGTTCGAGACCATTCTGGTCAACATGGTGAAACCCAGTCTCTACTAAAAATATAAAAATTAGCTGAGCTTGGTGGTGGACACCTGTAATCCCAGCTATTCAGGAGACTGAGGCAGGAGAATCGCTTGAACCCAGGAAGCGGAAGTTGCAGTGAGCTGAAATCGTGCCATTGTATTCTAGCCTGCGCCACAAGAGTAAGACTCTGTCTTAAAAAAGAAAACAACAGAAAAGGCTGGCGCGGTGGCTCACGACTGTAATCCTGGCACTTTGGGAGGCCAAGGCGGGCTGATCACGAGGTCAAGAGATTGAGACCATCCTGGCCAACATGGTGAAACCCTGTCTCTACTAAAAATATAAAAATTAGGTGGGTGTGGTGGCACGTGCCTGTAGTCCCAGCTACTCAGGAAGCTGAGGCGGGAGAATCACTTCAACCTGGGAGGCAGAGATTACAGTGAGCTGAGATGGTGCCACGGCACTCCAGCCTGGCGAGAGAGCGAGACTTTGTCTCAAAAAAAGTGAAAAACCAGATTAAATTTTAAAGTATAATACATTGTGATGATCTTTGAGAGATCAATTTTGTTGCTCAGATGCTAAATTATTGATTAATAGGTAAATTCAGTTTTGCTACATTCAAATAACTTTTACTGCTAGGACATTGATAACACATGCACACATGCGCACACACACACAGTACTCTCTGTATAGTATCATTAGCTCATAACTGCACATTAAATGCCCAGATGATCCCCTGGAGTTATTGTTAAAGGAGTTACAGTTTACTACAGCATGAAATCAAGGGAGCCAGACTGGGGAGATGAGGCGTTAGGGCCTGTGAGCATTCCCAGGGTGCTTTATAGTGCAGACGTAACCATCAACCCAGAACTGCCAAACAAATGGAGTAATGAATCCTTCGCCATCTCAGGAAGCTGTGAGTAGAGTACGTAGTGTATCATTTAAAACATAAGCTCCCTCTGCTGGTCTGTGACAAAGCATCAGCAGTGACAGAATTATAAAGCAATGTGTGCTTTTGACCAAACCATTATCAGCATTTTTAAAAGATAGAATTACTGTGAGGAATGGTGTCAAATAATGAGACTCTGGTTTTTATATGAGTACTCTGAACCTTGCACATCCAACACATGGAGGTTGTCTCCTTGAAGGCAGCACCATGGGAGATGATGTGCATGCCCCAAATTGCTCTTCACTGAACTCATTTACTGAGCACGTGCTGTGTGCTGGGTGCTGTTCTGGGGTGCAATGACAAAATGGACAAATATTTCTACCCTCATGGAGTTTACACTCCAGCAGGGAGAGACAGAGAATAAATAATGAAGATAATATGTCCATGAATTATGAAATATTTAAGGAGAACAGGTGGAACAGAGTCAGGAGGACCTAGAGAGCCATAGCATGTGTGATTATCCACAAGGCACGCTGCATGGGAGAGTGACGTTTGAGCAAAGACTTGATGTGGAAGCTAAAGGGTTAACGAAGGGAAACACCGAGGGGCTGGTGTGGCTGGAGCCCAGGAGTTCAAGGCCAGCAGGAGCTGTTCTGAGAAGAGATGGGGCACCCATGAAGAAGGCCTCGGAGGCTGTTAGAGTGCGCTGGCTTCTACTCTGGATGGAGTAGCAGGTTGGGGTTTGGAGCAGAGCAGTGACAGCATCTGACTCAGCTCTGAGAGGTTTGCTCTGACTGCTTTGATGGAAATTGATGGTGACACAAAATAGTCTATTATTAACACTTAGGACAATAGTGGGACACTCTTCAATTTTTTCTTTCCTGGAGGGAGGTACTATGTATGGTTTATTTATTTTTATTTTATTTATTTATTTATTTATTTATTTATTTTTTGAGACGGAGTCTCACTCTGTCGCCCAGGCTGGAGTGCAGTGGCGCGATCTCGGCTGACTGCAAGCTCCGCCTTCTGGGTTCACGCCATTCTCCTGCCTCAGCCTCCTGAGTAGCCGGGACTACAGGTGCCCGCTACCACGCCTGGCTAATTTTTTGTATTTTTAGTAGAGATGGGGTTTCACCATGTTAGCCAGGATGGTCTCAATCTCCTGACCTTGTGATCCGCCCGCCTCAGCCTCCCAAAGTGCTGGGATTACAGGCGTGAGCCTCCGCACCCTGGGTTTGCTATTAGAAATAACTTATTAATAAAAATAGTTTATTATATATATATTAAAAAATATATATATATATTTTAAATGAAATGGAGTCTCGCTCTGTCCCCCCTGGAGTGTGGTGGCACAATCTTGGCTCACTGTAGCCTCCACCTCCTGGGTTCAAGCGATTCTCCTTTTCCAGCCTCCCGGGTTGCCCAGGTGCCTGCTACCATGCCCGGCTAATTTTTTATGTTTTTAGTAGAGACAGGGTTTCACCATGTTGGCCAGGCTGGCCTTGAACTCCTGGACTCCAGTGATCCACCTGCCTTGGCCTCCCAAAGTGCTGGGATTACAGGCACGAGCCACCACGTCTGACCTATTACTCTTACATTTAGTAATACCAGTGATAGTAAAATCTTCATCCTCTAAGGGTAAATTTGAGCTAGAAAAGTTTCTAAAAGACAGATTTGTCTGATGGAAAAGATGATCAACCTTGACTGTACAATGATATAAAAAACTCAAGATCTAATTGATGAGACAGGTATTTTAGGATGTTGTGCATTTGGCTCTGATTACAGATTCAAAGAAAAAAAAGTCACAGTATTTTGAGCAGTAACCAACATCATTAGAAAAAATGCCTTCTTAAGGAGATACATTTTTAAAATTTATTTATTGGTTAACTTTTTAATTGACAAAAAATTGAATACACTTATTTTATACAATATGTTGTTTTGAAATATGTATACATTGCAGAATGGCTAAATCAAACTAATTAACATACGCACTAATTCACGTACTTTTTTTTTTGTGGTGAGAACACTTAAAATCTGTTCTCTTAGTACTTTTCAAGAATGTAATATGTTATTAACCATAGCTGCCATGTTGTGCAGCAGATCTAGATTTCTTGGATTTATTCTGTCAAGGAAACAAATTTAAAGGAGAATACTCGCAAGGATGCATGAATTTGTGTGCTTGTTTATATAAGCTTTACTTTTTTTAAAATTTTACTTTAAGTTCTGGGATCCATGTGCAGAACATGCAGTTTTGTTACATAGGTCTACATGTGCCATGGTGGTTTGCTGCACCCATCAACCTGTCATCTAGGTTTTTGTTGTTTTTGTTTGAGATGGAGTCTCACTCTGTCACCGGGTTGGAGTGCAAAGGTGTGATCTTGGCTCACTGCAACCTCTGCCTCCTGGGTTCAGGTGCTTCCCCTGCCTGAGGCTCCTGAGTAGCTGGAACTACATGCGTGTGCCACCATGCCTGGCTCATTTTTTGTATTTTAGTAGAGATGGAGTTTCACTATGTTGCCCAGGATGGTCTTGATCTCCTGACCTTGTGATCTGCCCGCCTCGGCCTCCCAAAGTGCTGGGATTATAGGCATGAACCACCACACCCAGCCCGTCATCTAGGTTTTAAGCCCCGCATGTATTAGCTATTTGTGCTGATGCTGTCCCTCCCCTCACCCCCCATTCCCCAGCGGGCCCCAGTGTGTGTTGTTCCCCTCCCTGTGTCCTTGTTATCTCATTGTTCAGCTCCCACTTATGAGTGAGAACATGTGGTGTTTGGTTTTCTGTTCCTGTGTTAGTTTGCTGAGAAGGATAGTTTTCAGCTTTATCCATGTCTCTGCAAAGGATATGATCTCATTCCTTTTTATGGTTGCATTGTATTCCATGGTGTATATGTACCACATTTTCTTTATCCAGTCTACCATTGATGGGCATTGGAGCTGGTTCCATGTCTTTGCTATTGTAAATAGTTATATCAGTTTTACTTTTAATTTCCTGGGCTACACCTGCCTTATAGAAATTAAGAAGCCCTAAATGGCTTGTGTTCATCCTCACTAGGATGTCAAGATTCCCTTGTTTCTTTCTCTGCCCTGAGGGTGCTTATCAGATAGGGAGGGCACAATTCCTGCTTTTCTCTGACAGTCAGGATAACCTTATTGTCAGTGAGAACCTGCAGTGCTGGTACCCACCCATCCCTGCCAGCCCCCATCACAGGAAGCTCGTTGGCTGGATTTCTGTGGTCTCGCTCCAGCAGATGCTCCCATCTGAAGCACAGCAATTCATGATGCACATCTCTCCAAGTTAATAGAGTTCTGCATTCATTCATTCGCCCATGACCTTATCAATATTCTTGAATGCCTTTTACTTGCCAAGAATTGAGATAATATAAATTTCTGGAACAAGGAAGGAGATGAGTGGCTGGTCAGATGGATGTGAGGACAGTCATCCCGTGGGACACCGCGTGCCAGCAAGGATTTGACAACCTAGTTCTGAGAAAGAACAGGTAGAAGACTTGTATTCTGGGAGCAAGGAGGAAGAAATGCCCACATCTTCCCAGGGGAGTTAGGAAAGTACAGACATTGTCAGGACAATTTGTAGAATATTCAAAGGGGCCTGGGGTAATTAACAATCATGTGGGCCGGGCGCGGTGGCTCAAGCCTGTAATCCCAGCACTTTGGGAGGCCGAGACGGGCGGATCACGAGGTCAGGAGATCGAGACCATCCTGACCATCTGGCTAACACGGTGAAACCCCGTCTCCTTTAAGAAATACAAAAGACTAGGCCCGCGGCTAGCGGGGCCGGGCCCCTGTAGTCCCAGCTCTCGGGGGCCTGAGGCCGAGAATGCGTGAGCCGGAGGCGAGCTTGCAGTGAGCTGAGATCCGCCACTGCACTACAGCTGGCACAAGCGAACTCCCGCTCAAAAAACAAAAACACAAAAACAAAAAAACCATGTGCCAGGCTGGGCCTGGGTCTAAGGGCATGCCCCTGGAACTCTCTTCCAAACACAAAGACACACAAGCAACCCCGACCTTGCACACTCATGTCGCCACCGTGGGGAAACAACATTTACACATTAAAAATATAAAACAAAGCACATAATTGAATCTTTTATGGCCAGGTAAAAAACACACACCAACACGACATAAATAATGAGCAGGCAAGATGAGAGACGAGAATATACAAAGGATCAAAGAGAAAGATCGGACCCACCGGTGAAACGTCTCACTCCAAAAACTACAAAAAATAGCTGGCCGGTTGCAGGCGCCTGTCAGTCCCCAGCTACTCGGAGGCCTGAGGCAAGAGAATGGCGTGAACCGGAGGCGGAAGCTTGCAGTGAGCCGAGATCTCTGCGTGCCACTGCACTGCCAGCCAGGGTAACAGAGCGAGACTCCCGTCTCAAAAGAAAAAAACCTTTTTTGTTTTTATAAAGAAATCATATAAATCAGAAAAAATATATAAAACATAAACAAAGGGAAAACAAAGATCACCTACAATCGCCACTGGCTAGAGAGCACTCATTTTCTTCATCATATATCTCTTCAGATAATTTTCATTTATATTAGAGTTTTTTTTTGTTTGGTTGTATTTGTTTTAGACGGAGTCTGCTCTTTTCCCAGGGCGAGTGCAGCTGGCGCTATCTTTCTGCTCACCGCAACTCCACCCTCCTTAGGTTCGTGCCATTCTCCTGCCTCACCTCCCAACTAGCGCGGACTACAGGGTGCCCGCCACCACGCCTGGGCCTAAGTTTTTGTACTTTTTAGCTAGGACGCGGTTTTCCGTGTCTTAGCCAGGGATGCGTCTTTTGATCTCCTGCGACCCTCATGGATCCGCCGCCTCGCCCTCCCAAAAGCGCTGCGGATTACAGTGTGACTACTGCCCGCAAGGCCCCTTACATATGTAGATTTTTTAATTAAAGGGTATTAACCCACAAACAGTTATACGTAAGCTGCCCCTTTTACCGAACATCTGTTTGTGTAAGGATGTACACCATCTCCATGTTAAACAGAATTCTATATTCAGATTATAATGGCCACATTAATATTCATTGATTGTAGTTCTGTACATGTCTTCACTTTTTACTATAACAATTGATTTTTGGAATGATTTAATGTGATTTAAAAGTTAACCGTTTTACTTTTCACTACTATGCATTTTATTTAAGAGACGCAGAAGCTAACATTCTAACTGAATCTTTATACAAGAAAATAAAGAAACAAATGTCTGGATGGACGAAATATGACAAGTGTTTTATTCAAAAAATCCATAATCTGTAAGTTGACCTTTAAATAATTGGATTTTTTAAAAGGCTGAAATGTGGCCTGTAAACGATTTGACATGAAAAGGGACCAGATTTCCATTCTGTACTACATAATTTCAACTTTTTCTTTCTTTTTTCTTTTTTGAGAACGAAGATCTCACTCCTGTACCCAGGCGGAGTAACAGTGGCGTTGATCATCGGACTCACTGCAACTCCGCCTCCCGGGTTCAAAGGCAATCTTCTGCCTCACCTCCGCAGTAGCTGGGACTACAGGCTTATTCGCACCACACCTGCTTCAATTTTTTTTTTTTTTTTTTTTTTGAGACGGAGTCTGCACTCTGTCGCCCCAGGCTGGGAGGTGCAGTGGGGGCCGATCTCAGCTCACTGCAAGCTCCGCCCTCCTGGGTTACGCCCTTTTCCTGGCTCAGCCTCCCGAGTAGCTGGCAGGGCCCCCGCCACCACGCCCGGCTAGTTTTATTGTATTTTTAGTAGAGACGGGTTTCCACCGTGTT